AGTTGCCCCATTGTTTGGGGGTGCTTCAGGCTGCTGAAGTTAAAGAGCCCATGAGAAGCAGGCTGAACAAGAACACAGTACTTAATACATAACAGGTATTTGATAAATGCTTTCCAAATTGAATGAGATGTCCTTTGCTTTGAGGGAAAATTTCCTATCATCTGGAACAGTGACAGCTGTACACCCTTACACAATGAAATAGGCAAAATGTGGGAGTCTAGCCCCATCATCTCAAGACTGGTTCTTAAAAGTACATATAGACTAGCCATAAAATGAATGGCTACACATAATAGGTCTGATTTAATATTATTAATTCAACCTTGCCTGAAAGGAATGCAGTGCTGTAAGCTGACATTGAAGCATGACATCTAAATAGCATTTGCCATGCCAGAGTAAATATTAAACCACATTATCTGACGCTCCTTAGGGAACGGCCTTGCAATGTCAAGACCGTGGAAAATGATGGGAAATCATATTCACAGAAATTTGACTTATATGTTCAAAATAAAATGAATCTCTCTCATTGAATGCATACAGCGATGAGCTGATAGCAAAATGATTACACAAGCAAGGCAGAACGTCGCTACGAAGATGAAGGATGTTAGGCTGAAATGGGCTTCACGGTGGACTTTTATGATCACATTTATACATTCCTTCATCAGGCCGTTTTCAACTGCAGTTTTTACACAATATCCAGAGATGCTGGAATACAAATCCATTTCAGATATGCATGTTCATTGTCACCAGGACCACCTACTGGAAGCATGAGCAGTGTTTGTTCTCATAAGCTACACCTCATACTTTCCTGGAAGTATATGAATAACCTCACTAGTGGTGATGTGTACAGACTAAAGAATGCTATAGGAAAAGGTTGGTCGTGAGAAAAACAACACGTTCAAGGACTGGTAAGCATACAGTATGCTGGATCTAAAAGGGACCACAGGAAAGTGGCAAGAGACATGATGGAAGGCCAGGCAGAGGTCAGCTGTAAACAAGTCTTCATGACAGACTTCAAATGAGGTCATTGTAAGTAAAGAATTATTTTCCAGGTCTCATAAAAATACAGATGAGAGTCAAGCCCAGAATTAGGCAAGGTTAAAGCTGTGTAACATGTCACACTATCACTTTCAGAGTTGGGGTGCTACCTTTCAGAGGCAACAACATATCCCAGAACCTCTATTTGATGAGATTAATTCTGTTAAAGTGCTGGTGTGGGAGCCTGGGTCATGATCATATTCTGTTCTTTATTCTACATGTTTCATATAATTTCCCCAATGATCTTAGAATCACCAGAATCAGGTCCAGGCCTCTAACTGCAGTTGGTGCTTAGATGTGGTCACCTTTCAGGAAGGCTTGGTCACATCCCAATTATCTTTTTGTTTGTTTATTGATTTTGGCTTTTGAGACAGGGCCTCTCTACATAGCCCTGGTTGTCCTGGAACATCCTATGTAGATCAGGATGGCCTCAGACTCACAGAGATCCTATTGCCTTTGACTCTTGAGTTCTGAGGTTAAAGGTGTGAACGCCCATGCCCGACCCTGATTTTTCATTGTGTGGTACCAGGGATTGAACCCAGGGCCTTACACATGCTGGGCAAGTGCTCTGGAACTGAACTTAATTTACATCCTCTTTTTGTCTTTTATTTCTGGTCATGCTAAGTTCACTAGGCTGGTCCTCAACTTACTCTGCAGTCAAGGTAGGTCTTTAAGCTTATCATCCCTCTACTTCAACCTCCTGAGGAGCAAGGCTTGTGAACCTACGCTATCAGTTCTTGTTCACATGTTAATTTTACAGCACACACAAACTCCTCAGGAGCACCTACCTGCCCCCGTCCTGTAGATGTAGCTTGCTAAGGATATTATGTACTGGCAACTGTTCCATGGCCTCTTATTGCAGTCACAGCTACTACAGACTAATGCAACTTTACTTCAAAGGAGAGGATGAGAAGTTTACAATTACAAATGAAAGGGGCCCAGACCAGCATCCTTTAAGGACATGTGACTGAAGCCCAAACACTACTACTCCCAGGAACCTCTTTTTCTATTACTAGACTGTCCATCTTATAGAGAAGGGCAAATGAACACTCCAACTTCTCCCAACAGAATACAACTCTCTGTCTCTACATATTAGCCTTTCCACTGAGGTATCCCAAACTCATTTAGACCCTGAAATGTTGTCTACTGTTTACTTAGGAAAGAGTGAGGACATCATGCCCACGTATAGCTGAAAGGTAGAGTCCCAATCCCTTGTGTCTTCTGGAGGTCATCACTACTGTCCAGTGAAGCTCACCAAAGTGCATGCTGGGAAGATAGCTTGCAACTAGTTCTGAGCTTGGAGCCATGTGGAGGCCCTGGGATGCCAGGACACCCCTAGGGTTCTTCTCCCACAGCAATTTCATGGGGGTATGGCAAGATGAGTGCTCCCCACATGGTCTTTCTTTTTTTGGGTGTAGCTTCAGTCTAAGATTCCAAATGTTTCTCCCACACTACATTTCAAAGGGAGCCCCAATTTCCTGTGGGAACACAACCATATGTGCCTGCTATGGAGCTGAAGTAATTTCAATTTTGATTCTTTTATAATGGAAATGAAGCTAACTGGGCTGAGTACAAATGAACGGAGAGTTATTTAAAACCTCTAATAGAGCGACTCCAGTAAAATGTAAGCATGCTGCCAATTGCACGGGCCAGCTCTGACATCTAGTTCTGTTAAGCTGGTGGCTTTCACAGAACCACAGTGACATTTATACACTGGGTGCTAGCCTCCTTGTATGTGGAAATGGAGGGACTCGAGGAGATAAATGATAGGCTTTGGGAAGATAAATCAGAAGCAAGAAGTGATATAAGTAATAAAAGTGTTGTAACGATCCTATAGGGCTGAGTGTAACTTCCCCCAGAAACCACTGCACATTGCCGAGCCTTGCTGCACAAGGCTGAGCAAGGAAGAAATGCAGTGGAGAGGTTTCTTGGGATCAGGATCCTGCCAGCTGCCTGGGAGGTTGACTGAATCTTCATGTAAATGAAACAGTAAAGACCTTGCCATAATTTTGCTAGTCCAGCATATCTATAGCAGGATGGGGGAAATGAGGTGCAAAGCTCAGGTAGGAAAGGGCCAAGGGACATTGTCAGGAAGGGACTGAGTGGGTCATCAACCACCATGAGTCATTTCTCACTTCCCACCTTCCTCCCTCCTCCCTACCTGCTGATCCCCTCTCCCTCTACACCTCATCTCTCAGGAGAGAATGGGACCTTGTCTGCTGCTGTTCTTATATCTTTTCTGTTTTAGTTTTTCATCTATCATTTTCATAAAATGGACTGCCATAAATCACTTCCTGGTAGCCAGCATAATTGCTAAATACACATCAATTGAAAATCCCCAGCCAGGCAGTGGTGGCACTTGCCTTTAATTCCAGCACTGAGAAGACAGAGGCAGGCAGTTGTCTGTGAGTTAAAGGCCAGCCTGGTCTATAGAGCAAGTTCCAGGACAGTCAATGATAACAAACAAACAAACAAACCCTCAAGCTAGGAATCTTGAAACAAAGGAGAAAGACTGATGGTAAAAGGAAAGACATGTGTTCAGAAAGACAGACTGCAGCCCGCATGCCACCCCACAGGAGATAGACAAGAGGTGGCATGTGAAGTGGGCAAGAAACTCATGTATTTCTAAACACTTATTTTACTTTTTAAATATGTGCCTGTATGTACATCTGTGTATGGGTATGTACATCTTAACGCAGATGCTTATGGAAGCCAGAGGTGTTGGATCCTCCTGCCTGATGAGGATGCTGAAAACCAACCCCAGGTCCTCTGCAAGAGCAGTATATTTTAGCTGTGGAAGTATCTCTCTCTCCAGTCTCTAAACTTGGCTATTCTTAATGTTTAAAATACAGATGTGAAGCCAGGTGGTGGTGTTACACCCCTTTAATCCCAGCACTCAGGGTGGCAGAGGCAGGCAGATCTCTGTGAGTTAGGGGCCAATCTGGTCTACAGAGTAAGTTCCAGGACAGCCAGAGATACACAGAGAAACCTGTCTCAAAAAACAAACAAACAAACAAAAAAGAAACAAAAAGAAAACAGATGTAAAAAAGCTTAATTTCTGTGGTAAATAAAACCTTTCTGTCAAAGTGTTTCTCTGTCTTAATGAGCAGATCACAGAACCATGAAGGGTTGGGGAGGGCAGTGCTGAAGAGGTTTTTCTCTCCTGATGCTCAGGAATCAGAGATGTTCCATAGAACATTCAGCTGTCAACTGAAAACCTACCGTCATAAACAGAACCATCAATAACCCTTCACAGAAATCACGTTGAGAAAAGAAATCAAAACCTACTTCTCAGAAAATGCAAGGAAGAATGAAACTAGAGATGAAGTTCCCAAAGGAGAGAATGCCCACACTCTGAGAGGAGCAGACATCCTGATAGCCATGCATACATCTGTGCTGAGCTCTTCTTATGCTTGGATGATCTTTCCAGAACAATCAGAAAGTGCCGGTGCATCCAACTGTCCATCAGAAGTCAGCTCAGCATGCAATTCTGACTCCAGTCATAGCCAGCTCTCAGCTAGGCAGAATCCAAACTTGACTGAACACTAGGTAGTTGAAAAGGTAGTTGTTTATATGCACATCAGATGGGAAACTTTTCCATTCAGAAAAATGTGAAAAATTGAGTGGACAGGACAAAGCTAAGAAATGAGAAAAAAAAACTTAGAAGTCCTAATAACTCTATAAAACTCTAAGACTATAGCTTCCTTTCTCCTGTGAGCAATATTGTCTACTCTGATGATTGTACACTTTCTAAGAGTTACTAGTTCCCTCTTACAGACTTTATCCTTCATCTCAGATAGATGTTCTCTCAGGAAGCCATCTCCAAAGATCAAAGAACACAATTGTCAGGGGTCCATACTGGAGACTGTTCCAGTCTCTATTCTTTTCAGTCAGAGTTCTACCTGGAGGACTCCAGTGACTTTTACTTCCAATGCAGAGTCAAAGTTTATTCCATAACACCTTACCTTTGATGCCCGGAAGGAGAAGGCTGTGGACTTGGTGTCCGACTTTCCCCGGTCTTGTAGAAGAAGGCCTTGGTCCTCTGTCAAGGCCAGGTAATGGCCGGTGGTGAGATGCCGGAGCCGGAAAGCTTGGCCCCACCTGATGTTACTGCCACTCCAGCTGGAGAAAAGCACATAAGAAATTATATTACATAGAAGTCAATGCTGTTCAACATTTATTCCATGCTTTCTTTAACCCCAGAGTTATTCCCTCTCTGGGGTTTATCATTAAAGGTCACTGAACTGTTTCCTGTCTGTCTGCAACTCAGCACGGTGCTTTCTTTTGTTTGATTCCCCATTAAGGAAAGTGCCATGATCAGGAGGGCAGGGCAGTACATACTATGACTGGAAGTCCTGAGTTTCAACCTACCATTCAGTCCACCAGTAAGTACCCTTATACAAACCATCTCAAAATGATGGGAAGACTTCATTTCTAGGAACACTTGTATCTGGGAAACCAGTCTTTCCATTTGGTTATAGGAATTCAAATACCTCATCATCAATCATAAGGAGTCCTGTCTTCACGAGAAACAAGAAAACAAGCAAACCAAAGCCTAAAACCACTGTGGGTTCAGCCTGCCAGGAGAGGCAGGTAGTAAGGGATGCAATAAGGAAGCAGATATCCTGGGGCATTCAAAGGAGATCTATTCTTCAGGGAAAAGTAGAGTAGGATGGAAAGATTGAGATAAGGAAAATCTCAGGTGGAATGTGCATCTTTTTATGGCCCTTCACCAAAAGATTAGCATTTAAAAGGAGTTATGGTGAATATTAGGGGGGAGATTATCCATGGGATCACTAGTAATTCAAAATGGATCCTTAAAGTTAGGATACCATGTATGTGTCAAACTTTGAAATCATTTCCCATGTCTTCAATTTTTAGGAACACCTGAGAATCAAAATCAGTGTCTGATGTAAGAACTAACAGCTACAACTGTGACAGTTTGTATATACCTACCTTGGCATGGAAATGTCCCATAAACAAGAACTCTTGAGCAAGTGAACAAGTGGGTGCCTCATTAAAAATAAATTGGCATTTCTCTTTCTCTCTCCCCTTGGCCCTCTCTTTAACACACACACACACACACACACACACACGTACACATTGATTATATATACATACATATCTCAGCTTTATTTATTTCTTATACAACAGTGATACACTCCAAATAAGCATCTTCAAAAATTTCTTAATAAGCTATGTAAATGATACAAAAAGGGGAGGGAGATATAGGGGAATTGCCACTATTTTTTCATCTCTAGTAGACCATCTTAGGGAGTAAATGCCACTCATGAGGAAGAATTCTCCATTGAACACATGTTTAGGGAAACACTGACCTGAGTGTTAGGGAGGAAATGGAGAAGGAGAAGCAAGTGATAATATCCATTCCCTCCTCTCTTACCCACAGCTGTTTAAAGGAGAAGCAGGTGACAATATCCATTCCCTCCTCTCTTACCCACAGCTGGTTAGCTCTAACTTGACTTACCTATGATCCCAGCAAAAAGAACCTGCTCTCAACAAAATGACAAATCACTCAAACTCTAAAAGCTGTTACTCAAGCTCATGGTTGGAAAAACCAGGCTTTGTTCCTTCCACCTACATATATTGCTGTTTGAAATGTTCTGACAAATGTTGTTTTCTTCATAGTTACATCAAGTTTGAGTCTCATTTTATTTTACTAGCTGCCATCATGACTACCTGTCCATCTTTGTTGTTTAACGATGGCTCTTAACTGGAGCCAAGATATTCACTGAATATCTTGTTTAATAAGATAAGGGAGGGGAGGTTCTGAGGGCTTTAGGTAATGCCAGAGCTAGTGTTCGATTACCTAGGCTCTAGGCTCTATAAGAACAGGGTGCAACCAACCATAGAATCAAAGGAAGAACCTGGAAATATCTTGGAAGTGAGGAAGTCAGTCTCCTCTCCCTTTCTGTCTTTCTGTCTCTTTTTCTCCCTGCTTCCTTATAATCAAAGCCATAGAAATTTCAGAATTTAGCTCTCACATATAAAAAATGATAAATAGAAGAGAATGGACTGTACTGGAAAACCAACCAGTCTTGCAAATGGCACCATATGGACCATGTGTTACCTTATCCGAAGGGGTTCCACTCTCCATAGAGACCTGGCTCTGGTCCCAGCTCCTCCAGCTTCATAGAACACCCTCCTGCGAGCAGAGTTGGAGATCAGCACTAGTTGTGGGACAGCTCCTTGTAGAGAAGGCGATCAGCACCAGTTGTGGGACAGCTCCTTCCAGGGGAGGCTCAACCAGTGAGTGGTCTAAGCCTCCTGAAATTAGCAAAACTCAAAGGGAGGAAAGGTTGTGGGTTCTTGTCTCTACTCTTAGGACAAATAAGAGCCACCTAAGCGTAGGGGACTGTACCCCACATGCAACAGACATTCATGGGTCACCAGAGAGACATGGGAAAAGGGATGGCAATGTCTCCCATTTCTTCATTGTTAAAACAGCTCAGTCACATACCATGTTACTGATAAAGAATGTTCTGAGCCTTTCAGGTTAGGCTTCTCAGTGTGATTTACATCTCTTATAAACAGATTTTTACTTTTCAAACATATATGTGGTATAGGGTGAAGCCCTTGCCATTGTTCTAGGAAACATGGATAAAGTTGTGTCTCCAGCTGTCACGGTTTCCACCATCCTTTTTTTTGCCAGCTTAAGAACTATGCTTTAATATACTTGTAAATCATTTCTGTTTTGAATTAATTTTAGACCCATGAGTAAATGTCACAAACAGTCACAGAGTTCCTTACAGTGTCACCTGCTTCCCCTCACATGGTCACCTTGCATCATATGGTTGCCCAAACTGAGAAACCAAAGTTTGTAGCCAACTGTTGTACTCAAACTCAACACTTTATTCATAGTTCATCCAAAAAGTTTCTGATAGTTATTTTCCTGTTGCAGGTCATGGTCCAGAGTGCCACCATAAAGGTTAGGCTTGCCCTCTTTATTTGATTTCTTGTTTCTGCTTCTCTGTTTTTTTTTTTTTTCCACTCAGAATTTTAAGAAGCACAGTATTGGTCATGTTTTTCTTATTATTGCCAAAGCCTCAATGTTTCCATTTGTGTAATGGGAACGAACCTATCTAGATCACACATTATGTGAAGTAAACTGACATACTTCTACTAATTGTGTGATACATGCATGAGCATATTTGTGTGTGACTGTCTATATAACTGTGGATGAAGAGACCAGGGAAGAATACTGGGTGTCTCCTTCATGAGGCCTTTCAAGGCTAATCATTTGAATCCACCAACCTTACATCTACCTCTGTCATAGTTTGTCTAAGTCACAAAAGTGAATTATTCAAAGCTTCATAAGAGTTTGGACCTAGATTTTAGGAAAAAAAATTTCTATAGTGATGAAGAGGAATAGATATATCCCCCATGGTGAAGTAGTAGTTCAAAGGATGCACCTTAAAATAAAAGATACCTGTATTTGGATCTGTTAGTGCTATGACCTAGGGAAAGATCTGTCAATTCTCTGTGGTTCAGTTCCTTTGTCTGCAAAACAGGTCTAATCAGGTAGTTATATCATGAGATATAGAGACGCAATGTGACTTTTGAAAGGATGTTAAAAAAGAATGCTCATAGATATACACAGAATTATAAAATACAGATTTATCTGAATTGTGTTTAAACATAGACATTTATACATATGCATAGAAGAACAGATTAAGGCACATGGCTATAATGAAATATTAGATTAAGCCTGGTTACATCAAGAAGGTAGGGTTATAGAAGGTATTTCTAAGCCTTTTTTTAAAAAATGTATACTCTACCAGAAAACACTTAATGTTAGAAATGAGCCTTGATAAAAAATACCCCTTGCCAGAGTAGGGACACTGGGATTTAGAAATATAGTAAAGAATACAGAGATGTGAAAATAATAAGACAGAAAAACATGGAACCATACCAGGAAGGCATTCCAGTGAATACTAAAATTGCCCACATCTAATTTCCAATTGCTTAAAATACCCCTGACCCCAAAACGTAGGAGTAAGGCAAAAAACTGCAATAACATGATACAAGGAAGTGAACATACCAATTGAAGGTTGTGGGCTACATCCATAGTTAAACATTCTATTTTTAGAACAAAACACGTCACACTCACACCTGAGACCAAAATATTCTGTAGGCAAGCCACTCCCTGGGTGGAATCCAATGTTGTCTCCTTAAGAGAACTGGAACTTAGTCAGATCCTTAGACTTCTGTTTGAGGTAGAAACGTATCTACTTCTCTGTTCCGGAAATCCACTTGTTGACAATAACCTTGAGAGGGCAGAATTCTTTTTTTTTTTTTTTTTTTTTTTTTTTGAGGTAGAAACACAATAACCTTGAAGGAATAGAGGTAAGTTCCAACTCTCTGACCTTTGGTCAAGTGGACATAGGTTCACATTTTTGGCCCTCTACTACTTAGTAAAAAAAAAAAATACTACTTAATAGCCATAACTTCTTGGTGGCTATGTACCTGGCCAAAAACGGAAATATTCCAATACTGACTTAACTACTCCTACAGATTGGCTGAGATATTAACTGGGTGTCTCTGCCTTCAGCAAAGGCGGAAAGAAAGAAAAGTAGAGATGAAGGGGCCCACTTCGGGGCTCAAGCAGTCCAGCCCTGGAGCTAGCATCAGAGTGCCCTCTAAGTCCAATTTCTGAAGTATTTGCAAAGGTCCATTCTTCCTGACTGAAACATTCTTGCAGCTTGGTCTGTTTAATCTCACCAGGTTACCAAGGTCGAAACAACTTGCTCCTGCTACCTTAAATGACTACAATCAGGGGCAGAGTGGGAGGACAGCTGAGGTGCTTTTGAAAAGCCAGGCTGACAGCTTAGCCTTAGTTCCCACAGGTCGAGTGACTTAGCCCAGGGCGTTTGACAAGCCAGAGGCAGAGCCAAGAATCTGAGTTCAGAATATGAGATTGTGGATCTCGAGTTTCCATTCTTGGGTAATATTTCCATCAAGCCTGCCTACTCTCTGGGTTCAGAGGGAAGACAATCAATTTCATCTGGGGAGTCATTACCATAGCATGCCTTAGTGGTTCCCAGAGTTCCTTAGCAAGCTCCCTCCTCATCCCCCTGATTTCATTGTTTCCAACAATCCTGGCCAGTTGAGGATTCTTTCTCTGATAATGAACATCAATGAGGAGGTTTACCACTCACAGTCCCTAGACGTAAAAAAGAAAATGCCAAGTCATCTTGACACCCTGCTTTCATTGCGAATGGCAGAAATTATAAGAATTCAGGCTCAAAGTTTCCTTGCTCAATCAGTTTCTCATGCTGCCTTGCAAAGGAAAGAGGCAATTATGTCTTCTCATATTCCTTGGTAACACAGTGAGATATAAAACCAACAGTAAACCAGACATTTAATCTGAGAACTGAGAGGCAGATGCAGGCCGATGTCTGTGAGTTCAAAGCAGCAGCAGCAATGAAAACCACTAAAATTAAATCAATATAAAACAAAAATGAAATGGAAAAATATCCTGCAACTGAATAAGATCACATGTCAATATTTGAGTAGTGTTCCCTAATTCCAATGGAAATCAGGTCAACTGCATAGACATGACCATCAGCCACTGACTGGGATTAAGGAGGCATGGAGTAACTGACTCACAATACTTATATAGATCTATATTCAGTGTGTTCGATACTCTGTTCTGTGTCACATATGGCTCCTATGAAGGGCATTCAGAGGGCATAGCAAGTGGGAGGAGACATACTATAAGGGGCTCAAGTTACCAGTGGAAAGGTCCTATAGTAATACATTCAACTGCACTGCTTCTGGGTCTGTCAGCACATGGACTAAGAAATGAGTCCTGATGGAAAGCCAACAGAACTTCGGCCTTCTACGCTCTCACCTGAAATTAGCCAGGATGTCACCACTGGCAAAAAGTCTGATCAACATGATCTCCAAAATGTCAAGATGTAGCCCTAATGTTGCTAATGAAGTAAAATTAATGTCGTTGAAAAGGATCTTGTAAGCATGACGAAAAGACAAGAAACTACTGTCACCAGATCAGACTAATTACTGCCAAAATTAAGCTGAATTTGGATGGGAGGTTTGATTTTTATTTATAGTATGAGGCTTCTACAGTCACAGGGCAGAGCATTTTATGTACTCTTCCTTTGATGATAAGCAAAATAGTAATAAATATTAAGCATATATTTATTATGTGGGTTAATATCTTCCATTTCATAATTTTGAATCTTTAAAAAACCTTTGATTGTAAAATTACAAAATATATTTGATATTCTTTCCCCTACTCTTACTCCCCTTATATCCTCTCTACTTCCCTCCCAAACAACTTCATTTTCTTTTTCTCACTCTCTCTCAAAAAAAATAAACACACAGGAAAAGCAATAACAGAACAAAAAAATGAAAACCAAAACAGAAAAACTAAGGAAAATCAAGCAAGAGAAAAAAAATACACACTATAAAAAATATGGTAAAAAGCACACACGAACACAAGAAGCATGTAGTATTCCTTATTACTATTAGTATGTTGATTACAGTGCAAAAGGAACACAGCAATAAAATGACTTCTAGTGACATAGTGCTCTACCCATAGAGCACAGCATTGCTCAACCTCATTACAGAAGCTTCCTCTTGCAGTAGATGGGAATAACAAAGAGATCCGCAACTAGATCTTTATCAAACCCATCGCCCTCAAGTTTCAGTGACCTATGCATAAGTGAGGCAGGAAGATTGTAAGAGGCCAGAGGTACTGGATAACTTCAAGGAACCAGTGTCTTCTAGACCCAACGGGGCTGATTCACACAATTTTGAATCGTGAATAAGAGCCAACTAAACAATCAACCATTGGACTAAAGACAGCTGACATCAACACTACCTCTAGCTGTACTCCTCAGCAGGACTCCCTGCTAAATCCATCTTCTGTTGGATTCTGATGCCTAGTTTTTCCCAATGTGTTGGTAACAAGAAAAATGAAACCAACCAACTTCATCTTAGTTACTCAGTACACAAAATGGGAGGAACGGAGGTAAGCTGTCTTTCAAGGAGCAGCAATAACTTGTGAAAACACACAGTTTCCCAAACGGACTGAATTTCCACACCAACTGGGTGTTTGAGAATCAGGAACAATCAAAGACAATCAATGGTTTGGGACACATTGTAGCATTGTTTGCTTAGATTGAATATAAACCCATCATTTTTGTGAGCAAATACTATTGTCTTCCATTCCTATTTAACATACTGGAACTTGTGGCTAGATGAAGGTCAGCCCAACTGAGAAATCCCTGTGCAATTCCTGTGTGGCCAAATAAAAATGCAAACTCCTTAGTGTGAATCGCCAGAGACTAGAGACAGCCCAGAGAACAAACGAGGATAGCGGTTTACCTGTGCTGAGAGTCATTCTGGTCTGTCGACGGTATCGTCAAACACTCATCATGACCATGGAAAAGACGAACTACGTGCCCACCAAGTAAGTATCCTATGAAAAAACCGTATTCCACCATAAATTTATAGAAAGCTTAAAGAGAACATCACACTCAATGAGGCTAAATTCATGCAGGTCCTAGCTGGTTCAAGCAAACAGCAAGGGAGGTACATTTGGGAAATTACAGAGTCCATGACTTCAGACCTCAGGCAGGAAGGAATTCTAACACTGCAGCTAAGTAGAATTTCAGAAATATGTAAATAAGGCTAAATATCAAGTGGAAGGTGAAGCCACTGTGTCAACTGTTATCACTAAAAAACAAAAGGAAAATTATCGGTTTTTTAGTTTGGTTTTTTGAGACAGGGCTTCTCTGTAGTTTTGTAGCCTGTCCTAGAACTAGCTCTTATAGACGAGGTTGGCCTCGAACTCACAGAGACCCGCCTGCCTCTGCCTCTCTAGTGCTGGGATTAAAGGCGTGCGCCACCACTTGCCAGCTTAGAGAAGTTCTTACAATTTTAGTGTATACACTTTATGATAAAATCTAATCAGATTATGATCATAGGATAGAAATAACCTGGAATGGTTTGACGATCTTTTTGTGAGAGCTGTTTAGGAGAAGGCAATAATATGCTCTTCAGAGTTGCTTGAGGACAAGGTAGTTTTCAAATGCAGCTAACAAATACATATAAGATTTAATGGTGCATCTATACAGCAAAATATGGGAGGCAGGCCCACTCTAGTGTGTCTGAGTGGGCATGTGTACTAACTGCTATCAACAAGCACTCAGATTTCAGCCCAAAGGGATCACAACAGTCATGGAGTTCAGATAGTAAAGAAAAACAACGAACTTCCAGGGCATGGTGACCCACTGGTCTTCAAATGAATTCCAAGCATTAATTCAAGAAGCATACTAGCAGGAGACAGGCCTGGCTGAGCTGGTTTTGCACAAAGAAATTGGATTTGTTATTCTTCTGAATTAAAAAATCTCTAGGTTACTCTGTTCTCAGGAGACATATGGACTTAATAGGCTCCATGTCTGTATTTGGAGTTTTTCTTTTTAAATTACATAATTAGATCACTTGTGGGTGGGGGTTGTCTCAAACTATTTTGGATGCTGGATTAAAACAGTAACAATGAGAAATCCTGCTAGAGGGGAAATTGGTGTTACCAGAGCACACTACACAGCAACGGTTTGATTTTCCTTAGCTTATTTCTTTCTTACCTAGGCAAAGAAAGATTATCTTAAACTCCTCTCTAATATTCACAAGTATTTTTTCCAATAGCTAATTATACTAATATGTACAGTTGCATTTTTTCATTTGAATAATTCATGACACACTGAAGGGAATTCCTAGTAGCCAATTTACATAGAAAATTAAAAACCTCAGCCATCAAGCCCTTGATTAAACTCTTTATCCTCTCTTGATGGTGAGACTATGTCCATAAAGAGTCCATCATGAATAGTTTGTGGGTTTCTCCAATCAACATCCTCCTCATTCGAGAAACTGCCCATTGCTAGCACAGGACAACCTTTCTTAACCAAAATCTCTCTCTCTCTCTCTCTCTCTCTCTCTCTCTCTCTCTCTCTCTCTCTCTTTCTACTCGTGTGTGTGTGTGTGTGTGTGTCTATGGGTCACAGTCAGGAAGAGGAAGGCACTAAGGTCCATGAGGGCAGGGCAGGTTTCTGTCCTGTGGATGCTGAGAGGCCATTCACCACCCAGCCCCATGACTGAGCTGATGAGCTCTTCCGACTTCATGCACACAAGGGCACTCAGCACGTCTGTGAGAACCATTTGACATGATTTGCAAACAGTCCTTAATTAATCTTCACAAGCTCTCTGTTGGGACTGAGGTAATTTTGTTTTTGTGGTTGAAGATGAAACATTTAACAAAGAGATGGAGCTGAAACCTTCTAGGGAAGCATTTAGGACAGGGAGTCTGGATTCCTCATAGCAGGGAAAGACTGACTAGATTTAAAGAGGTGTATTGATGTTTGTATCTATGTGTATGTGTGTGGGTGAGGGGGAAGGGAGACACATACACATACACGGGGTGGGGGGGCAGGGGTAGAGAAAAAGAAAGAACCTTGGGCTTGGCAATGCTGGGCAATCCTTCTATCACTGATCTATAGCCCCAGCAAAGGCCTGGTTTTTAAAGGTCTCTCATATCCTACCAGGAAACTTAGGGTTTGTCCCTTCCTAACTATTTAGCTTAACTGTGGTTCCTTGTGAAACTGGGCTATCACCTTGACAAACATCACAAAGCTGAAAGGCACCTCTCTAGTTTGCAACTGTGAGGCTCAGGAAGAAAACTGGGGTTAAAGCCTGCGATAAGACTATTTTTTAAAATTCAGATCTTTCTATAAAGTGCTAGAATGGAATGCAATAATTCTTGGGTCATTGGCATTTTATTTTTCTGCTCAGCTGTGGTATTACCTATGAGTGAGGTAAGGCCAATGTGTTTATTACATAACCTGTAAAATGCATTGACTTTGCCTCTCTCCAAGAAATACAGTATGAAAACAAAGTTACATGACCTTATTTCCACGGAAAGAATTTAAGGCTGAGAAAATTTCATTTATTATTTTAAGGGGTGCTCCATAAAGATAAGTAAAAATCAAAGACCAATTATATATTTATTATAAAGGAAGCTTCTCCCTGTTATGCAGAGTATGGGGTGGGGAGTAAGGCATGTTACCTTTCTGGCAAATGTTCTAAGATGAAAGTTCCTGGGCCTGTTTTCTTACCAATAGCAAGCATGAATAAAAGGAAAACCTGGTGAGAGAGGGGAGGTATCCATCCAAGTCCTGCTTGCTTGTAGTAATCAACTATGGGCACTGATGGATTAAAAGCAAGGTTAACAATGACCATGGGGCGTCAGAAGAGAAAACAATCTATACTGACATTGGAGAAATAGAGCCACGATGTGTGTGGATGAAACAGCAGAAAATGTTGACATCCACAGCCCAGATGGAATGTCAGGCTCTGGGCTGATGGCATTAAAGTGGCTTACCTTCTTCGATGCTGCTTCCCGAACACGTAGGATGCACATTCCAGAGTGTTTGCATAAAGGAGGCATCCACCTGTATGCTACCATTTGATATCGAGAGATGCTGCAGTGGGAGAAGAAGGGAAATGCCCTTTAAACTGCTAGCCCAGTCCTGGTCGAGCTACCGACGACAATCTCAAGAGTAAAGTTAGAAAGCGACAGTGTTCTGTGGTTCTTTCCTCAAGGCCTGTGTGAGAGCTTCTTTTATTCAATCTTGAAACAGCTTCATAGTGGGCACTGTAGTCCAGGAAGAATCAATTCGTAGCCACAGAGGTGGCAGGCAAGCGTTAACCTTGTCACCTCAGCTGCACCCCTGATTCTACATACTTATAAAATGTCTATTTTTTATAGGATAAGAAAACCCACACATGGGAAAAAATTGTTTCAACATTTGGAGAAAGGAAGGAGAAATCAGTTGGCAGGATTGGCCCTATAAGAAACTGCTGAGAAATTTAACACTTATCTTTGCCATTTCTCTATCTTCAGGCATCCCCACCCTGAGCAGGGCTTGCCTGGTACCTATACTCAGATTCAACACCCCATATGCATCTGTCAGCCTCTGCAATACTCCTGCACTAATATTTTACATTTTTTCTTTCTCCATAAAAGCTTATTTTTCTGTATTCTTTTTTCTGTCTTATATTCCATTTTGCAAGAGCCAAACAATGTGCTAAATTCATAGTAATCTGACTAATTCATCTTAGCAGCATTTGCTCAATACAACACAATACTCTAGAAGGAAAGCTAACAGTTAAGTTCCAGGCAGTACGATTGCCTCATAGGGGAGAGACATCTTATTCTACCCAGCCTGCTGTGGCCCCATTTCCCTTTTGAAAACCAAAGATGCTCCTGCTAAGAGGTACTTACAAGGTATCTTTCAGAGGACACACTGACGAGGATCAGGTCATCTCCGATTCGCACTTTCTCTCCTTCAGACCTCTGTTTGGAGGCGGGATGTATGGTCCACCAGCAGGCTTCTCCTACATGAAGGTTTTGTGAGTTAGCCTCTGTGTCCTGGAAAGCAGTGATCCCATTCTGTCCCATATTCCTTCCTGATGAGACACCTTTCCCTTCTCCCAAAGTCTCTTTGCTTCACTTTCTATTTACCTATAACCAGCCCTGTTGTCTAATGTGTGCTTTAAACTGTATTTTTTCATTTCCAATAAAGACAGAAAGACACAATTTGGGACAGGTTATTGGAGACCAGTAGCTACAGAAGTCTGAATATTTTAACAGACATAGGACATGATTTTTTCACACTCTCCTTTACATAGCTCTTTAAGAACAGACTTCAAAGTATGTATGTTGTGGTGGTATATGAGAAAACATGAGAAAACAAGAAGATCAGAAGTTCAAGTTTGTCCTTGGTTTAATGAGTTTGAGGCTAGCCTGGGCTATATGATAGGCTCTGAACACTTGTCCCCACAGAAAGGGAACCTTGAGGACCCTATTTCACTGACAAATTGAGCATTTTAGCAATTTTATCTTCCTCACCTTCTATGAGATGTGCTAAAACAATAGTAAAGAGAGTTTTTGTTTGATTCTTTAGGTTCAAACCTATAAGAACAGCCTAACACATGTGGAAATATATGTGCCAAGGAAGAAACACTGTTATGGGGTGAGGGGTGTCGGTGGGGATCACAATTTTAACTAACGAAATGGAGAAGAAGCCACGGACTTAAAAGGACACCCTGCTATGAATAGATTCCAGCAGGAAAACTGATTGGGCTGGAGGTGAAGACAGGTTGTAAACAGGAAGAATTACTAAAAGGCTTTAAGGACTTTTAAGCCCCAGATCCTTGCCCATCCCACACAAGCAGATGCCTCTTCCTCCCTCAAACAGCGGAATTCAAGGAGTTGCAAACCGCCAAGGGTCTGGCCTTGGAACTTCTGTAAGATACTGCCAAATAAGCAAGCGGAGTCCTGCTGAGAGCAGATAACTATAGTTTATGTGTGACCAGAAACACCCCAACTTCTCTCCCTTTGCTTCTGCCCCCCCCACTTCTAGAATGCCAGCTGCAAAGCAGAATAATTTTTATCGGTCCTCGGATTTGAGGACTGCTTTTTAGGGAAGCCAGTGTTTCTCTCTTCAGTGCTCAGAAAGATGACCCCAGAGTGAGGACTGACAGATGCCCAGCGACAACACAGCTTCCAATCAACTTTTGTGACTTGACTTAAATATGGGCAAAGATAAAAGGTCACTTGGAATTTGAGGAATGCCTCTGACATTGATAACAGGAAACAAACACAAATGATGGAGAAAGAACTAGAAAAATTAAGATTGCAGAGAACAAAAACTTTAAACAATTTTGTAAATAACAATCCTAAGGAGGAAAGAAAATGTCATACTCAGAAAGTATCATGAGGATTCCCTCAAGAGAGGAAGAAAATGACTCCAATTCTAAAGAAAAACAAAATGATTACAGTTGGAAAATCTTCCAAAAAGAAAGCAGCAAAATAGTTTAGAAAGGGAAAAAAATAGAATTGAACATGGTGGTGCACACCTTTAATCCCAGCACTCAAACGGCAGAGGCAGGCAGATTGCTGAGTTTGAGGTAAGCCTTGTCTTAGAGTTCCAGGGTGTCACAGTGAGATCTTGTCTTAAAAACAAAACAAAGGAAGAATTAGAATTTGAGAGGAAGTGAGAGGAGAAGGAGAAGAAGGGGGTGGAAGGAGAGGGCACGTGAGGGGTTTGAGAGAGGAAAAGGATGTAATTATATTCTGATTAAAATAAAATTCTAGAAAACAATATAGAGGAATCCCAGAGCAAGAATAAAGAATAAAGAGTATCAACAAAGAAATAATACCCCTAAAGCTTTCCCAGTGCTGGTCAGTAAGCATCTGTGAACAGGAAAGTCCCCAGGGTACCTGGCATAGTTAAGCATCCACCCTACACTGCACCCTCTTGAGACTGCACAACAGAAAGAGTCCAAGTCACACTGTGGAATTTTGGATGTTAGAGAAAGAGAAAAAGAGTTTTCAGAAAAGATAAACCAGTCACACACAAACCATCAGGAATCAGAACACGCTTGTGTCAGTAGCCAGTTTGTCTCAGAAGCCTGAAGAACGCCAAGAAAAAAAAAAACTTTTAATACAGAATTAAACTAAACTATGAATTACTTATGAAGCAAGGATGAACAAACCTTCAGATAACTTAGTACCTGCATACATCTTTTCTGCGAAAGCTACTGTATAGTGTGGTTAGCCAAAATAAAATAGTAACCCATGCTGTAGTCAAGAGGAAGCAGAAGGTAGAAGAGGCAAAATGAAGTCCGTGAGTGATAGTGGATATTTCTAAGATGAAGAGATAATGTGGCTGATCCTTATAATTCAGGGACATTTTTGCATCAATGGGAAAGCTTGGAAGTGAATCCATGATTCAGTCACGGGAAACAAAACCAGGCAAAACAAACCTGTGGGTTATTTACAAATACGTGATAGTAGTTATATCAATGTAAGTTGTTGGTTTTGTTTGTACATAAAAATAAATAAGAACATATTCAGAATGTAAGGAAGAAGGACAGTGAAAAGTAGAACGTGAGAATTAAGCTTTATCAGGACATGAATAGATAAAACCTAATCTGGAAAGAACAATGAAATGGCAGCATATATGTATTTTTCATAAACAGCAGCAAGCAATGATAGAAGAGCTGAACACAGGTGCCCGAGGCAGGAATTTAGATTTGGGAGCAGATCTTTTTAATAAATATCAAAGTGCCATTTGTCAATGAAAATTGTATGTAGGTATTTCACTACCTTTAAAAATGCATTACAAAAGGATATGAACTCCATCTTTGAAGTGAGAAAGGACCAGGCTCTCCAGTATAAACTCTGTGCGCCGTGAGAGGGCACCTGGCATGAAAAGCATCGTGAGCAGACACACGTAAACGTGAGAGGGCAACTTCCCTGCCACTTCTCACGTCCTTGGAACTGGTCCCTGAGCTCCTAGGCTGTGTCGGTCACTAGCTCCAAAGCGCATGGCAGCACTTGTATGATCTCACAGGCCTACATTCTAAACCTGCGGCAAAGGAGTAGACTCAAAACTTCACACATGTGAAGAACTGAGCCATCAAATCAGTTGTTCTGATTATCTAGTCTGCTAAATCTAGGAAGTTACCAGTAGATATGGGGGGAAAAAATCCAGACTTATTATTGAAATGCCCCCTAATATTTCCTCCCACTTTCTCCTTGACATCCAACCCAGCTAAGGTGTTTGTGCTACAGAGCATTGACAGAACTGCCTGGTAAGGAACCAGGATTCTATCCCAGTGGATTCTATGTGCCCTCCTTCGTGACAGGTCTCATCCCAGAAAACCCTGACTGTCCCTGGGGGACCCAGCGCCTCTCCTGACTCAAGGAGAGTGTGAGTGGAGTAGGTCAAGGATGCAAGAAAAGCCAACTATTCCAGGCCCCAACTTTTCAAGCAGCCTGGCACCCCTTTCCTGTATGCCCCCACACAAGTCAGTTTCTGAACAGCCAGTGTGAACCTGGCCCAGCTCAGGTATCTACTAGGTCTGCTGTCACCGAGGGTCCTACTGGTTCTGATCTCAGGGACTCAGAAAACGACTTCCTGAAATGAGCAACGGTCTATGGTCCTCCTTTCCATCGGCGGCTCTAACAGCAAATTAGGTAATTTCCTGAACTCCTTGCTAGGAAGTGTGACTTTTCCATTCCTTTCTAGTTCTCACCAAACACAACATCATCTCACTGCTATAAACAGAACAGAGGGACCACATGACTCCCCAATTACATGCTAGAAGATTGGCATCTGGCTGGTCCAGCGAGGTCAGCTTCCATTCAGAGAGTGACATTCTACTCAATTTGTAAGTTTTAGCAATGGTTGACAACATTCTAGAGAAAGTTATACTTGAAGAAAAACACAAGCTAAGAGCAAAGAAATCTCAAATCTGACTCCCACATGATCTTACTGTAGGGGGAAAAGCGTCACAACAGTCAGAGACAGGCCCTGCCTTTCCAGTGTACAAAGAGAGAGCACAGACAGCCTGGTGCAGGCCGCAGAGACAGCAGGTGCGCGTGGATAGGATCCTACATTGTTTCCTGATCATCACGAACTCAGCTCATCTGAACCCTCAGCTGATACACTAGCCTCATTTCAGAACAACGGCACAGAAGTTTGTCTGTCTTTGGAAATGCAGCATTGGCCCTCCCTTCCTGTTAGGTGGAAATGCCATCCTGTTAAAGACTAGAGTCCAAACAGAATTTCTGTTGTTCCCTAAGTGATTTTACTTCCCTGGTCTCTCTTTCCCCAGCCTGGTTAATTTTGAAGTCCTAATTTTAGTCCATGTTCTACTCAGTATCCCTCCAGCAAATCCTTTCTCGGCTTAAATCCATTACAATCAATTTCTGTTGCTTTTGACCACACGTTCTAATTGGTAAGAATACCCCAACCCCTACCTGGAGCAGAAATTCTATATGCCGTGCCCTTGACTGATGGTCATGTCTAAACATGTTTCCAGATACAGGGAACATGCTACATCCCTGGCCAGCTGTTCCTCTGTCAACTGCAGATATTACAAAGCATTTTCCCTCACGGAGAGTGCCGGTTGTATGTCTCATTTCAACCTCTATCTTCTTCTCTGTTGGCCTTCAGAATAGCCCCCAGGAAACTGGTATTTTCTTAACAGTGTAACTTCGTACATATTTGTGGTTGTCTTGGGCCCCTCCCTTCATTTCTGGATTCCAGAGAGAGCTGGCATCGTTCTGGCCACCACCTTTCTTAGTGCTGACTTCTACAGGGACTTGCTATAGAGCTTAGACTGGCCTTAAACATACTAAGTATCCCAGGCTGACCTTGAACTTAAGATTCTTCTTTGTCAGCTTCCCTAGTACCAGGTTCAGACACATGCACCATGTCTGGCTGATCATCAATGTATATATTGCTTTATTTACATTCATGCATACATACACACAATGAGGTGGTTTCCAATGTATTTGATGCTTTGTAGAAGACAAATGACATTGTATTACTTAGTGTGAAATTTAAGACAAAAAAACTCTCTTTAAACTAATTCTATCACAACAGTTTTAAGTTTTTGATCTAATATAGACACTTATTTATTAGTATTTTCTCAATTATTTGACAATTATTTTGTTGTTGTTATATAATTTATGGCAAAAACATTTCTCTACTTCCAGAGATAGGTTTTTGCTTAAAATACTACAGATAAAGCTTAGGTAAATTTATAAAAAAATACACAATAAATATATGGAAAATACACTGGAATGCCAAAACTGAGTCTGGTGAGCATCACTGACTGACATTAGGGAAAGTGACTTGGGAATGACTTGTTTGGAGAATACAAAGGGCCCATATCTCTAATCTAGACATCATATTTCACTACTAAGCCCTAATGAAGTCACTTTTGTTTTCTTAGCAGTTACTCAGTACCTATAGTTCTCAAGAACTAAATTGTCCATTTATAGTAGTAAACCATTAAAACAGTTTCCAGCACTCAGACTTCAGGCCTCATACCCTCCCTGCCTTAGACTCCATATTTTCATATGCTTCACAATCCTCCCTTGAATCATCCTCAAAATATTTTTTATCAGTTTTATCATTTTGGACCTTGTTGATGTGGAATTCCAAATGAGTAACATACCCAGCTTCTTTCTCAAAAGTCCCCAGCACAAGATCCCGCTGGCTGAAGCTGGGAATGACAGCTTACCTGTGGCATGTTCCCGCAGACCTACATCAAAGGCAAGTTTATCTGTCTGGGATCTTGACGTGGTCAAGCATGTTAGATACTGTGGAATAAGAGCAGATACTGGGAGTCAGACCCTTCTACCAAGTCCCGGTACCACCACTAGTTAGCTTCCTATTAAATGCAGGAAATCAGCGACTATAAAACAGACTCAGGCTTCTTCCTCAATGGAAAGTTAAGTGATGTCATGCTTTTGGAAAATATTTTTGTGTTAAATGTAAAATCTCAAAGACATTCTTATTTGATCATCTAGTAATGTCTAGGACTCTATCCAGAACGAATTGAAATATTCAGTATGCTTTAATTCAAAGGTATTCTGAGAAACTTTTTTCATATTTTTAGCTTAACAGAACATTTAATTCACATCAACCATCGAACACTGTGATCATATTGGCCACTTCCAGAGCTTGGCAGGAGGCTCTTCCACCAGTGGCTCTCATGGCTTTCACTGCAGCATCTTCCTTGACAGACTCGGTTCATTTTCAGCCTAAAGAATTGCCTCTTCTACTCCACAGCCCTGAAGCAAGTTTTCTAATGTCGTAACATCTGGTTCCTCTAAATCCATCAGTTAAAGCTGCGTTTCCTATACTCAGCTCAGGAAGAAGCTTAAAACTCAACTTTGGCCCTTCCTAAGTTCCCCAGAGGCAGGCATACCTGACTTGACCTTTCAACTTGAACTTGAGAATAATACAAATGGAACATCAAAAGCCAGCAGCAGAGAAGAGGCAAGATCAGCTTTGGTTCTTCTGTTTTCTGGAGTACTGTGCCACTAAGAATACTGATAAAGGATGTGCACAGAGCATACAACTTTATTTTTATAAGATGTTGAGCTAAGAAGTCACGTAAAATAGCACATTTGTACAGCTGACATAAACACAAAACTTAAATGTGTAACATATGATTAGAATGAATTATATTGGGATAATAATAAAAATTGTGCTTGGATAAGTAAGGTGGGTGGAGGAAGCTGGGAAATCAGATAATTCCCCATTTAATTTAGTTTAACATGCTTTGAGAACTTCATATATAAGCACTGCCTCTACCTCTCTCCTGCCCCATCCCCTTCTAACTCCTCCCATGTGGTTCCCCAAATTCATGAAATCTTCTATTGTTTTTGTTATACACACACACACACATATGCACATGCAGAGTCCATGTGTCCAGAGCTGATCACTCACTTGAGGTTGCATAGTCTATGTGGGGCATTGTCCCTTGAGCAGAGTGTTTTTCCATCTCTCAGCAGCCATTGGCCTCCTATAGCTCTTCATCTCCTAGGGTAGTGGTTCTCAACCTTCCTAGGGCTGTGACCCTTTGATACAGTTCTTCAAGTTGTGGTGACCCCCCATAACCATAAAATTATTTTTGTTGCTACTTAATAACTATAATTTTGCTACTGTTAGGATCACAATGTAAATACCTGTGTTTTCTAACAGTCTAAGGTGACCCCTTGAAAGGGCCATTTCACCCCTGGTTGAGAGAACCACTGATCTGGGGGATGGGGCTGTGTGGGATTTCCCCTCTCCATGTTGCCTTGTCAATTGTTAGGAGTTTCTTTTAAAAGAATCTCCTGATATTTTAAACCTCTCAAAATAACATTTATCTATTTTTTTGTGGGTTATGACAGCATATATGCAGGTGAAACTTTTAAAATGATCTTTAAAGCAGTTTAATAGGGGAAATAAACGAGGGCTGTTTCCTTGCCTTCTTGCTGATGCACAGTTGTGTAGGCTGGAAGCAGAGCGGGGGGGGGGGGGGGGGGGAAGCACAGGCACACCTCCAGCTCTCTGCAAGCAGGTGGAAAATCGGTGCATTATAAAGGCTTATTTCATAGGCTTTACACCAAAGCTACTTAAAAGAAAGCCAGTGCAGGGTTTATGTTAATTGGGAGTGAGGTTTTATTTTTTTTTTCTTTCTTTTTTTAAAAGAGGAGTAAATTTAGGCATAAATAGTTCAAATCTTTGCATCTTTACCAGGTGCTAGCCTGAGTTTTCTGAGTCATTGGGGGGGGGGGGGATACTGTTTCAAGATTTACTTATTCTATCTGGGCAGAAAAAAAGCATATTTTAGGGTTCTTTGTAAATAAGCAAACAGATTCTAAAAGGTGATCATCTCTCAGTTCCAGAGATTGCCAGGCAAAGGGTCTCCCCATTCAAAACTGCCCCAGTACTCAAATACAGCTGGCCAGCTTTGTGCGGTCTCTTGCCATGAAGTAGCAAATCAGGCAAGGGTTTGGTCTGAAAGGTCAGCTCCCTACCAGTGCTCAGACAAAATATGCTGCAGCAAATCAATTATTTAAGAAGTAGCTGCTGAGCATGCTACAGTTTGGAAGCCCAAACTTTGAGAAGTTCGTGTGGAGAACCTGTGAATGTGTGAGAAGAAACAGCAATCCCCTGTCCCTTCCTCGCGCTGTTAGGATTGCATGCGGCCATGCCAACCTTCCCGGAAGGTCCTGGAGGTCTGAACTCAGGTCCTCCTGTTTGCACAGTTAGTGTATCAGTTTTCTTAGGGTTAGAAAATGAAGAGCTATCTTCCTTACACCGAGAGCATGCACGAATTATATACTTAGGTGCTGAGAGCAAATACTATTGGAGTCAGCTCATATACTAGATCAACCTCACAATATTTGCAATAACTCCTTGCAAAACATCAGAAGTGTATGAATTTTTCAAGTTATGTTTATTAAATTCTGCCTATTTTTTATTCCAAGCTTTTGCTTTCCAAGTTCGGCTGAATTATCGCCACTCTAGCATTTTGGTTTCAAGTCCCTGATTAGTATAGCCCGGGCCAGCTTTCTGTAATTGCCTGGTCCATTATCTTCCTCCTGCCACTCGGTTAGCATAATACCTGGAAGGATTCAAATTCTTCCAGGACTGAAGGCCCTGGACACATTCCATTTCTTTGGCTGTGTACAAGTAGAGAAATTCCACACAAATCCCATTTGGTTTGTTTTATTCAAATACTAAATAAATCAGTTCCTCCACAGTTCATTTGATCAGTTATGCATTCGAGAAATATTTACTGGGTATCTAGTATATCGGTGGACCATACTTGGTGGGGTTAGGCTTTGTGAAGTTTAAAGAAAGGGAATGGCTCTTTTCCTCACTCAATGGGACACAGATTCAGTAAACATAAATCCCTGGGTTATGTGGGAAGTGATAGGAAGGCAACAATGGACTGAATTATTTATATTCTGAACTGCTGTCAGTGTTCATCCTTTCTTCCTCATGAATGGTGAAAGCTGACATCTCCGTGTGCTTACCATTCCACTGAAAGAGTGCCTCAGGAGAATTGCGTGACCGTACAGCAGGGTCCTGTGGCCACCCCCTTGTGCTGCCTGTGGGAATGAGGAAGAAATCTGTCAGCACATACCAGCTGTGGCTTCTTTGGCAGAAAAGCAACACGACGATTTGGGATGCAGATTCCGAGAAAAATAACCATGACAAAACTCCCCAAGAATCCATTCAAGAAGCAAGTGTCCAGCCAATGGGCGAAAGGAGACTTTGTGAGCATAGCCATGCGGCATCCTTGGGAGAGGGCGGAAGGGCCTGTTGCTCTCCTCAGAAACGGCCTCTGCCCAGGATGAGCAGGAACCCAAAGCTGTTCCAGACTGAAGCATGTAAATGAAGTACACTCTGCTTACCTTCCTTTGAGCTTCTCAGAAGCAACCGGGATGAGAGAGACACAAGAGAGAAGTAACTACAGCCTAGTGCAGGAGGGCACCATGGCCTGTGAGCATCCATGTGTACCGCGGATCTTGCAGTCTTTTGTTCCCTTCTGGGCACTGTGCTTTCTACCCATGCAACTCAAACGGTCTTTCTCACACAGATCTCACCAACCAGGGATGGCTCTGAAACCCAGGACTTTAAAATAGAGTAGCTAGTTCTGCAGAAATGGTCCCCTTAGTGGAGAGGCCCATGTGACTGTCCTCTCCGCCTCCCTCTGCACATCCGTTATGACGATTTGATAGTGGTTGCCCAAACAGCAGAGAAGGAGGTCAGAGAAGATAAAATGGCCCAAAGGAAAACCAGCCACTGGTGCCTGATCTTCTATGGGACTCTGATCCATACAATGTTAGGCTGAAATGAACAACATATGCTAGGAAAATCAAGTGTGACATCCCAGCTACAAGTGGGTATAAAGAACAGTCAGCTGAAATTGATAATTAAAATAAAACAAATCCTGTATGATTTTGGTACCAATCCCATACTGTTTTGGTACTAACCTAATTCTCCCAACATCATGCTAATATATCCCTAGGTAACACTTTTTAAACACACACACACACACACACACACACACACACACTTTTAAAAGAAGATACTTCCTGCTTACAGGCTGTGTCTTCCCCAAGGGAGACTACAAAGTCTGAGAGAGCGAACGAGATTTTGTGTGTGGTGTGTGTGTGTGTGTGTGTGTGTGTGTGTGTGTGTGTGTTTACTTGCCCACACTTGTGCTTGAGAAGGCCAGAAGTGGCCATGGGTTGTCTTTCTCATTAGCCTGTTATATATTTTTTGAGACAGGGTTGCTCTTTAAACCTGACCAGTTGCCTGACTAGCCAGAAGGCTCTTGGAACCCTCCTGCCTGGTGCCGAGATTACAGGGACATGCTGCAATGCTTGCATTTCATGTGGGTGTTGGGGATCAGAACTCAGGTTCTCATGCTTATACAGCAAATGCTTTGACCCCTGAGCCATCTTCCCTGGACCACTAGCAACAGGAATTTCAGCATTCTGTGTCTGTGGTCCAAAAGCATCTTTTATGCATCCTATTCTTTTTAGAGTTGCAGACTGGCTGCCCAAGGCGCTGTCTGCAGTTTTATCCTATCCATCCTGTCCCCTCCAGGCATGGCAACGAGCAATGTAGAGGACGAGAAGCAGGAGGTGGGGAGAGAAGCAGAGGTCTGGATAATGAGCTATGAGTGATTTCATTTTGTTTCTGTTTGGAGTAGCAGAATTGCTCTTTCACAGAGATTTTTCCCCCATGTCATTCAACCAGTCTAAAGAGAAAAAAAAAAAAGACAAATGTGGTATATTGAAAAGAGGATAACTAAATATAAATGTGGCTGTGTTCACCCCTCCGATAGAGATATTTAAGTGTTCTCAGATTTTAATACCAAGTAGGATTATACAGCTTTTCACAATATTTCCAAATTTCATGGAACCATTTGCACTAACTTCAGCTGTATTTACAAATGTGTCAACACCTTACATTAAAATTAGATGTACTAAATCACTTTACATCTTGTCTGTCTAAATGGAATAGTCCCATGAGCTTGTATCCTTACAACTTAACTGAGGTTTCCAATGTCTCATGTTGTGTGTGTGTGTGTGTGTGTATATATATATATATATATATATATATATATATATATATGCCTACCATGAATAAGTGACTAAATTAGATGTCCTCCTATCAACTGTGGGTTCAACTCTTTTCTAATTCTTCTGTGTTCCCACCAGCTCTGTAATTACCAGAAGTCAAGAGTTGCTGACTCTGAACAGTATCACAGAGTGACTTGGGTTGTTCTCCTCTGATACTTCTAGGAAACACTGATGGGACCTCATCTCTTTCATTATGATGCCACCAGAGAAAGAAAAGGATTTAAATGCCTAGTGGAATGGAATCTAATTTTCTCTGCAGACCCTTGAAGCCTCACATTCTAGCTTCTCTCTTAATATAAGTAGTAGTTTGTAGATGTCGGAGGATATCAGAATCACCAGGTCCCCACTCCACAGTGGCCTGGGCCTGGCCCAAGGATCTGCATTTCTAGGTCTAGGTGATGCCGATACTGCTAGTCTAAGGCCAAAAGTTTGGGGATTGCCATTAGGGGAATGGATGGCTCTGGTGCTAGGATGGAAGAGGAGCCTTTTATCACCATTGTAATGTTGATTTCTGCTATGGAGCAATGCCTTGTATGCATCAGGGGATTCATAGACCATCACAGTCCATCACCATGGTGACCTTTCAAGTTTGCAATGAATTTCACATTTAATATGGGAAGAATTTGGTGCCTAAAGAGGGTGCCTTGCTGTATGTGTCACAGTTGATACGATAGTACCATATACACTTGGGTTAACAACAGATCTTCATCTCATTTTCCTAATGTGTGTACAGTGATTGCACATGCCACCAATGGGAAGAGATACAGAGACATCTTTCATGGGACTCATATAGCTAGGATCTAATTAGCTCCAATCCTATGGCAGGCACATAACACAGAATGGCACACAGGGAGCATCTCACTTGATATTAACTAGTGATGCAATGATAATCACCCCCATTTTACAGCCACATGAACTGACACTTAGATTAAATTACTTGCTCAAAGTCATACGGGTCCCAAGTGCAGAGTGGGAACATCACAAAGGGTATTTAACCATGCACCACAGTACTGCCTTTTCTGTAGTATGGCAGGGGAGATGAAACTTGGACAAAATAAAACCTTGTTACATGAAGAAACAGCATACATATTAAAGAAGTGAAGCACAAAATTTTAAGTAGATCATGAGGGTAAGAATCTGTGCTAAGGAATGGCTCTATTGAAAAGGTAGACCAAACACAGACTGCTGACATATAGATGGTCAGAGGGAGACACCAACATGGGTGGACTGTGTCCTGGAAGTAGGAATTGTAAGTCACACTTGACTTCTCACAGCCATCCAGTAGTTAGTGCCCACGGACAGGGACAGGTGGATACATTGGGGTGCAGACAGACTAGTCAGGCTATGCAGGCCAAGACTCATCGCTCACTGTCCCACAGGCAACAAGACATGGGAGTGTCTTATGACAGGATGGTGTCGCAGCCAAAACTGTTCCTTAGGAAGGGAAGTCAGTGGTAGAGGAACAGAGGAGCCAAGCCCTGAGGGGCAGAAGGGGTGGTTCTCTCATTTGGTTTCTTCTACATGGTTGACAGGGAGTGAGCAAACCAAACTTTGGGGTGGTGTCTTTCTTTATTCCTTTCTCTCGTTCAAATCTAAAACAACTGTTGGTATCACCTCTAAAACATTCTCCAAGCAACCACTTAGCCGCCCAGTGCTCCTAGTCCCTGTGACTGCTTTGTGTCTTATCTGGCCTATGGTCATGACCTCCAAAATGTGCCTGTAAAGTAAGCCATGGGCTAATGTGGCAGCCAGAGCCACTCTTTCCAAACATGTAAGCCAAGTCTTTGCTTTCCAGTGGCTTGCTATCCAGTTAGAGGCAAATGCTCTCATTGCTCATTTGAATTCTCTGCATCAGGATTGGAAGTTTTTCTCTGAGAGCCCACACGGCGAAGTATGTTAGGCTCTGTGATCTTACAGTTATCGAATCCTACCTCACATAGTTTTTAAAGGAATATGTTCAAAATTTAGACAACAATTTTACCTTAGCACACTGCAAGTAAAAATGACAGGCTGGATTTTGCCTGCTGCTGCAAGTTGTCAAACCTTACCGCATTTACCCGAGTTGGCTCCCTTACACCCCTCTGACATCAGCTACCAGGACCACATTCCCCTTTACTTCGGCTCTGGCCTCACTGACTGCTCTTCACTTTTCAGATAACCTTGTTCCTACCCCAGGGCTTTTGCACATGCATTCTTCTCTCCCCAGAATATACTTCAAATGTCCTCACAATCAACTTACACATTAGATTAATTTCTCCTCCCAAAATATTCCATTAGAAAAGTTTCCTATTATCATTCTTTAACAGAAGATCTGTCTAATGTGACCCACCACGCCTCAAAAGCCATGGTTCCAGAAGACTCTACAGCGTGTGGCTCTTTCTGGGTGTGCCTGCTTTGATTTTCTCTTCTTTGCTGATCCCACATCTCACTTCTGTTCTACTCAGGCTATAAAAGAAAGAAAACGTCTCTCTAGAAGATTGCAGGACACAGTATAGACTTTTGCACAGGACGGGAGGTATGAATTTCCCTAGATACAAGACAGCTAAATTACCATGGTGCCATTGATGCATAGGACAGTGAGAGTGAATGAGCTCAACATTCCAAGTGAAGCAGCAGGAACCAGAGAAAGTGGGTAACCTCGGAGAGTTAGCTAGTTCAGTTACTTCACCATGAAAGACTCAATTCAGGACTGTTATAAATTGTTGAGATTTTTATAGCCTACTTAGGTGAGTAGAACCTTTGGGGAGAAACAAGAGAAATGATTGGATAAAATTTCAGATTTGATGAAATGAAAAGGTATACTTTGGTACACCTAATGGGAAAAGGAAAATTTGTTAATTGCTTATTCCCCTAAATTTCACGTGTAGATTCTGTGTGATTTTGATTAAGACTAAGAAGGTAGTTTGGAATTTGACAAAATTGTCAGTGAAATTAATGCTGAAATATGAACAATG